ATTGATCGATTCTCTGGCAGGACCGGCCAGTTCTGTCAAAGAACTGGCCTCATTTTATCTTTTAATAATAATTTTCAATTTTTATTTTTAATTTTTTATTCGTCGCTTCACTAGGTCGGATGGCAAATCCGCCTATCCAGAGTGGTTTTTCGGAGGGGCGATCTAAGTCATCGAGGTTTTTAAACCTTGAAAGAAAGAAAATAGGGCGTTCAATATTGTTATGGAACTTTTGATTTTTCTTTTTCTTTTTGTATTTTTTTTTACTTGTGATGCTTTTGACTAAATATATGAAGTATCTTTCATTAAAAAAAAAGAAGGGAGGTATGAGTGGAGACAGAAGATAATACCCGTCGCTATTTTGAATGGTTAATGACAAATGGGCGATGCATGTCGCCTTCCTTCCACTTGAAAAATTATATTATGTATGGACCAATAAGACACTTGCACTGCCAATTGAAATGAATATAATGACCCATCATAATTGTGAATGAGTATAGAGAGCGAATATTTTTTTTTGCCAATTGCTCATTTAGTGCAATCCGCGGTTTGTGAAATACAAAGTAAAATAAATTACGCAGCGATCCCTTATTAAAGCTTCATCGACGCATTGATTCCATTCCCATGTGATGTGTGCAAGTCATACCCTCTACCACTCCTTTCACATTGCCAAGGGGCACATTATAATTATATTTCAGGTATTATTAAATGGAAGAAGTTTATATAAGGTTGCAAAGTTAAAATGTAAAAAAGGTTATTTTGTAGTTGGAAACCCCTTATCATTTTGACATTGAGATGCATTAATAAGTACAAATAAAATAAAATTTGAGTTTAAAAAATAATGCATCTTGCAACACATTATTTGGACGGTCTATTTTCAATATTTTCATATGTTTATTGATCTACTTAATTTGAGCTATTTTTGGGGTCCAAAATTTTATAATTAAAGATGAAAATGGAATTTCAAGCCATTCTAAAAATTTTCAACAGCGAAATTATATCTTATAATAAAATATGGTAGTGAATTGTTTAAGGTTGCAACCTTACAAAAACCACACCCCTTATTAGATAGAGAACAAGTTTGGATAAGGCTGCAGCCTCGTGCCCCATTTTTTTTTACAAAAAAAAAACAAAAACAAGAGAATGTGTATTTTATAAGGACGAGGTTAAAATAATGCCAAGGTTTTATTGAAAAATGCAATGCCTCACCTCAAAACTCACTAAAAATTATAATTTCATGTCAACCTTGATCATTATAGTTTTGGGAAAAGAAAATTTGGAACTTCTAACCTTGAAAATAGTATATATTATCTAGACTATTTATCTTCAACTGTTCATGGATTCACAAGATCTGTACCATTTTTTTACCTTCAAAATTCATAATTAGTGGTGGAAATAGATTTTTGACCCATCTTATGAATTTCCTTACCTGAAATGTTTTCCGGACAAGATTTTGAAGTAAGGCTTTACTTTTTTTGAAAAAAAATAAGGCTTTACTTTTTAGGCCTTATAGAACCTGTATCCTATTTAATTGAGAGAAACCTGAGTACCAGAAGTCTTGCTTGCCTTCTTTACCTTTTCCTTCTCCTCACTCTATCCAACTGAATCCTGGGCACTGAACTGAAGTCTCCTTTCTTATAAGTGAACCTGTGGTCTCTTTCTCTCTTGAATAATGAATTAGTTTCTCCGGGCTCAAAACAAATAGAGTATGAACTTGGTCATAGATACACTCCAAATTCTTCATTAGCAAACCCACTTCAAGTTCTTCGTGTGCATATTAATTGCTCATTTATAGTGAGAAATAGGAGAAAGAGGACTAAAACCTTTTCCTTTTAAACCCCATTGGCTAATATTCTCAAAATTATAATTTAATATTTAGTAAATCATTTTTCCACATAATTGCACACATATGTGAAAGCTTCATGAAGCATATCACACACCCAAGATAATGCACTCTCCAAAATTGCGCGCCACGTCATCTCCACATAGAAGTGAGGTGCGTACATTTGGGTCCACGAGGCATGCATTCACATTTGTGTGCCATACCCCACATATCCAGGCTGTCTATAATTAGAATTTAGCGAAATTATCACAAATATACTTTAATTTTCGTTTATTTAGAAAACAGCCCTCCAATTTTCAAAAATCTCGTCCACGCCTTTTTTTTTCAATTTTGAGCATTTTGTGACCAAAATAACTTTCACGGCAGTGGTATTACCATAATAATTTGAATTAATATAATGATACTTTAAGTACTGTCAAACCGAAGCCATATTTTATGGCACTTTAACTAGTGTATCACAGAGGCAAGGGCAGGATAAGATGAGCGCCTTCTCCAGCGTATCATTTGGCTGTCCTCATCCCGTGGTAGATGGCCATCTCCAGCTTGTCCCAAGATCTCCCCACCACCAAATATTTACGTGGAACCACAAGGGCAAGACTATTAGTATCTGGCGGATCGTATCATGGCAGCAATGGATTTCTCCAAACACTTTTTGGGCATCCTGACTATATTCTCTTGGCCTTTGCCCCCAAAACTGGCACCAGTTGGCTCTTAGTCCTCCTCTTCTCAATAGCCAGCTGCCTCATCACAAAAGAAGAGGAGCTCAAGCTTAACTTGTCAACCCATCCTCATAAACTCATTCCACAAGCTTATCTTGTCAGCCATGGCCTCATCCGAAAAGAAGATGCGCATAAGCTTATCTTGTCAACCATGGCCTCATAGGCACACAAGCTTATCGTCCCTAGCTTCTGGAGATGGCGCACATCTTATTCTGCCCTTGCCTATGTGATTTGGTAAGTAAAATGCCATAAAATATGACTTAGGTTTTACGGTACTTTAAGTACCGTAATATTAATTGCCGCATAATATGGCTTAGGTTTTCGATACTTAAAGTATCGTAATATTAATTCAAGTTATTATGGTAATACGACTACCATGAAGGTTATTTTGATCACAAGACGCCCAAATTAAAGAAAAATGGTGTGGACGAGGTTTATGAAAGTTGGGTTTTTTTTTTTTTTTTCTAAATAGACGAAAACTAAAGTATATTTGTAATAATTTCTCTAGAATTTATGTCAACAAAATTTAGAAATTCATATTCTCTCAAATAAAAATTTATAAAATTATAAAAAATCATATTAAATTACTTTGTCATTATCAATCAAAATAAATCATTTTGGTATCCAAGAAAAAAATAAACTGGAAAATTAGGATATTTAATAGACTAAATTAGGCAATGTAGTACTCCACTAGGCTACCTTCGGAACCTTAGGTCAATTTTTCAAGTAAAGCCAATAAACCCATTCCCGTAGTCTCTGGCAAGGGCACATGCTTAGTTTATGAAAGCTTCTCAATAGGTGGCTTGGTTCTCAAATGCTCAGTGGATTACATGTGTACACTCAACGACTTTCACTCTTATGGATGTGAGGGCGCTCTCTCTAGCACATTTTCACATCTTTGATCAAGCAGATCAAAACTTGTCAGAGTAGCTTTTCACTGTCCATGCACGGCTCGAGGTCAAGGATTAGGTTCATGTCCTCTCTAAACCTAGTCTTCTTACACATGACTTATTCTCAACATTTTTTCTACATGCAATTCTTAGACATTATCTTTTAATGGCCTAGCTCATACAGTCATGGTGAGTTATCTTATAGGCCCTGACAAGATGAAACCCTCAAACCTCTCGATTTCATTGAAGGTCCAACACATACAAGTATCATGAGTCAAGGCTTTAATGCTTTCCCAAATCCCAGTTCACAAAGAAAATAGTCAGTTTAACTTTCTAGTTCTCTCTCACTGTTACCAAGAACTATCGATGAATAGAGCAAACAAGGCCTTGAAAGGCCACAAGTCCAACTGAACATGGCTGGATTGATGCATACTAGAAGTGTTCTAAACCAGGTTCTGGCTTTGACCACCAGGTCAGCAGGCTCGGTTTTGAGTAAGAGATTTCTTTTGCTAGTTTCATTTCTTGGTCTCTGCTTTCCTGTTTTACATTTGTTTCTCTCGTTTATTTTTTTGCATGATTCGCTAGCTTGGACGGTTGTTCGTGAATAGGCCGATTACTTCACGAGACCACCCTGTCTTTAGACCATAATTCGATTGGACTTCTCTTGATTCCTTGTGAATTCGAAAGTTTAAGAAAACGTCATTACATATCATGGAAACCATCTTACGGTGGATGCGCAGTCATAAACATGGAGTTTATTGCACCTATAAGGGATAGACTCCACGCCTTAATAATCACCTCAATTTTTTCTTTCGTTTTAATTTCTTTGTTGGACACTTGAGCTAGTCGAGCTGGCTCACAAATTTGGCTAAGTTGGATCGAACTGGTGGGTCACTGTCTCATTAGCTTGACTTTTAAAACAACGCTTCTTACAAATAAAGAACAACTCATGTCCTTTCATTTCAAAGATCTTAGAAAGGACATAAGCGTAACATAAAATGAAAAAAATTAAATCAAGATAAAGAGAAAATAATAAACTTGAAATCAAGATACTTCAATTAAATTTAAAATTACTTATTGTTTCATTCTCATCTATCTACTTTCGTAGAAAATAACTTGCTTTGATACCTACAAAATTTGTCCCAGGAATCTACAAGTTTGGCCAAGCCGTGTCGGGAAGTGATGCCTTCCTCTCTACTTGTGAGTCAAGGAGAGATTTTTTAAAATAATTACGAAACCATAAAAACAGAAATATATAAAGAATTTAAAAACTAACTAGAACACTAAGATTTTTGTGGAAAACCCTTTTAAGAAAGGAAAAACTATAGGGTACCATAGATGAAATCCACTTAGCAATAAAAGAATTATAATGGTTCATCTCAAGTTAGTTACCTGTAACTTGAGGATTGGGAACCAAGAAAATAGAGATATATAGTTTTACTTCTATGAGATCAATTTGTGATAATAATGAAACAAACAAAGGAACCATTAATAAGACTAAGAATCATTATACACAATTTTAATCCTACTGGGAAGCAAGACTTGCATATGAAAGATAATACACAATTTTAATCCTACAAGGATACAAGACATATATATGAAAGATAATACACAATTTTAATCCTACATGGATACAAGACCTACATATGAAAGATAATCACACAAAAAGGTGCTTCAATGCCCCACTCATGGTTAGTGCACAATTTCCTCTCTGTTTTTTTGTTATTACCCAACAACATCATCGCTGAAAAGCTTGAACTTTCGAGCATCAAGGACCAACTTCCGAATTGATGAGAAAGCACCCATGATTCCGACGCCTGAGAATACAATGATGATAGATATGTTGATGATGTATGTGAATGACTTTTGTGGGGGCTTGAGACTCATGTTGTATAAAAGCATGGGGAGGATGAAATCAAGTGGGATGAACCCAACAGCACCCACCACTGCGCTTATGTCACCAAAGAAGGGGAGCATTGATGCAAGAAAAGCACAAAAGATCATGTATGATGTCCTGAGGAAGATCCGAGGGACCAAATTTCTCTTGGAGAACACTCCTTGCCTTATGTCCGCTGATTTCTTTTCCATTATCTCGTATGCGACTTGAGAATACACCTATGTGATTATTCATATTTTTCATCAATGAAACTTGATTTCAAAAAATAAATATGGAAAACTGAGAAAATGTGCATGCTATGTTAGGGGCAAGGCTTACAGTAGTATTAGCAAACAACAATATTGGGCAACCCCTAAGTGCTACGGAGGATCTTGGGCGCTTGTGCCTACGTGGCCGCCCAAAGTGTCAGGCACCCTAAGGGGTTAAATTAAGGTGCATGCTTGGTACGGTTTCTATAAGGTTACAACCTTAAACAATCCAATTAAGGCACACCTCCAAATTTTATCGTAACATGTAATTTTGGTGTAAAAACTTCTTAGGATTATGTCAAAATCTATTTTCATATCTAATTATAAAATTTTAAACTTAAAAAATTGTCAAAATCAAGTAGATCTATAAATGATAGATAATGTGTTGGAAGATGTACTATTTCTGGGACTCAAAATATTTTTTTTTTTTTCATATTCATACATCTCAATGTTGAGATGATCAATTAGATGAAAACAACATTCTCCGATGGATTTTTTACGTGCATATGTAATTCTACATTTTAAGGCTGCAACCTTATA